AATTTTAGAGCTATAGATGTCATGCATGATTAAACAAAAAACATACCTGTACAGTGCATACATATTAATGTGGCATGGTTAAAATAATTAAGTTTAAACATAATTTATGTACAGCAGTGGTCTTTAGTTACACACACATTCCCTCATCTATGGTCGATAAGATCGTTTTTTGCCGCGATAAACCATTAATTTGTCAAATATCCCTCCGCACTGGTGAAACTTCCCCTGAACAAGGGTATATATATGTTATTGCCATTCATGTTAAAATTATATTAACCGTTTTGTTCATGTAAATATTAATATGAGTCGTATGAACACCACTTACAATAAACATCTCGACATATACTTATATCTTCCTAGTTCTCTCCATTCTATTACTGATCTGATAATCTACTCGTTTGTCGGCTCGAAATGGAAGCGTTCAAGCACCGGCTTTCATTTGGGCTCAATAAGCGTTGAAGTGATCCGCCATTCTGGCGACGCTATTGCATCAGTTTCGTGATTCACTATAGTACTATCTAGCAACTGGCGTCGGCGAGCAATCTGTCCCCGGCGACTGCGTCCATTGGCGGAAGGATCGGATTAGAGCCGCGCAGTGTGAGTGATGCGGTAGCTGCTCGCTGCCGCTGCTGCAGGAGGAAGGACAGAACCGCTACCAGCACCACCTTTCAGTTTCGCCTTCAAATTACACCAACCGGCTCCGTCACACACAGTCCACCGACTGAATTATTACCCCAAGCCGTCCCTTATTAAGACACCGGAGGGGTCGGTTGCGTCGAAATTAAAGAAGCGCTGTTTTAATCCAGTATAAGGCGGGTTTTTGTGTGTTTTTGACAGCACAACAATGGCTCTGAAAAGAATCCACAAGGTAAGAGAAGGAAGTCACGGGCGCCATTGCCCTGTTCCGCACCGAAAACGCACCATCCTTCCTCATTTACACCGGAAAGGCGATTTAAGGGATGTTACGGAGAAGTTATACGTGTTAAGTGTGGCACTGGTGGGATGACAACTGTAGTAAAGCACCCCGGTTCGACGGTTCGGCCCGGGCTAACGGTTAGCACGATAGCTAGCGACCCTCCGTCGAACTGTGTGTGACTGTTAAATAAATGTTTATTTGGTCACTGCTTTTGTATTTCCCCTCTGGTTATCATCTCAAACTTAAATAAATAGTCGTTTGAAATTGAGGTCGGGTTGAAATGGCTCACTTGAGGATTAATGTAAGATCACGATAACGTGTTAGCATGCTAACCCCTCGTTGCCACCAATGCTAGAGGCCCATTTAGAAACCTTGAACACAGATCGTTTATATCTACCATAACTTCATGAATCGACTGTATTTTACTACTAATATATTAGTGTACATTATTATTATATTACATGTCTTTATTTCGTGCTGTTTTGTGTTGTTAACTGGCTAACCCATTCGGTAGAGGAATCTGGCCGCAGTTTATCATCGCGTTGATGTTTTACAACATTTTCAGAATGTATTGGTGTTGTTCATATTGTATATCTTTTTGCCCTCGCCACCATCCAAGGATTTGGTCCTTTAGTTCATCTGTTTAGTTTTTATAGCCAAACTCGCACGTTATATATTTGGAGATTTGAAGTTAGCTCTTGGCGCAAGCAAATTGGCTTTATGGACGTGGTCCAAAGCATTCCTATTCACATTTCAGACCCCTTATTGTGCTTTTCTTACAATTTTGAACGTTTTAATACTCTTGGGTTTTAGTAGAACAGACTAACCCGGAAAAATCTGAGTTGCATAAGCTGTGGTCACCTCTCGTGTCATTACAGCAGCAATAACTCCATTACACAGACTGTTATGTGTCTGATTTGATATTGACCTCTTTATTCTTTAAATTATCCATCCATTGCTTTTGTTCTGCATATTTCTCTGTAACTTTATCAAACGCACAGATATTTGGAGTATTAAGTTTCGGTATCAGTTTCATTTTGGTGTGCTTCATTGGAAGCGTGTACACTGCAGGTGTTTCAGGAAGGGATCGGGACAGGTGATGCAGAGCTTTACTTGCTGGTTTTCAAGTCATGATAGGTGAACCGTTTTTAAACTGCAATTTTGTTTGTGGTGTGTTGCAGGAGCTGCATGATTTGGGCCGTGACCCACCTGCTCAGTGTTCAGCGGGCCCAGTAGGGGATGACAGTAAGTAACTCGCTTTGCCCACCAATGTATTCGATAAACTAGTGTAAGTTTATTCTTCAAATTTGAGTTACAGGTATTTTGCCGAAAATCCTTGGCAATTTCGGCTTTGATTGTGTAACCAAAATTCAACTTTTACTTTTAACACTTGTGCTGTGCTGAAAAACCTTTACCTAGTTTGGTGTTTCTCTGTCAAAATATGACCGGCCTTTTAAAAATTGCTTGTAAATCTGTCATTATGCTATATTTAAAAAATTGGAAAAAAAAAAACTTAAGCTCTGATCAGTGAGGCCTATGATCAGTCACTTCAAAAAAGCTGTGCTCTTTGAAAGAAACAAGTAAATGAAAAGATTGTATTCAGGTAATAATATAGCACAACACATTTATAAGTAGGTTTGGGTATCGTTAGAATTTTTCCAGTTCTGAGTCCAGTTCCAGTTTTGCATAACGATTCTGGTTCCATTTAAATGAGCTTTTTTTTTTTTTTTTACTATTTTACCTTCATTGAATGTAGTGTTGCTGGAAGGTAGTAAGTAATGTTGAGTAATGCTAGTCCATCAATCACATGTGCTTCAAAGTTTATGTTTTTTACACTATCAATTAGGGCTGCATGATAAATCGCATGCGATATTTAACACGCACCTTATCAGTGAAACCGGTTCTGTAATCAGCGGTAAATCTGCATCACCTGCGTGCTTTCCCATTGAGCAGCATTCACTACACAGAGCTGTTGTTCACTAACGAGCTGCGCAAAACCATGTTCATATTCGCGCTATTTTTTGTGCAGCTCGTCAGTGAACAACGGCTCTGTGTAGTTAATGCTGCTCAATGTGAAAGCCCGCAGGTGATGCA